TTCTGCAGTCTGAAATTGATCAAATATGCAATCAAGGTGTGTTGAGAATTACTGACTGGATTACAAACTTGGAAGCAAAGAAGGATGAGTACTTAGAAAATATGACCTTGGTGACAGACAATGGTGGACATTGCATGATAGAATTTTACAGACCAGCAACATATTCATTGGAAATGCATTTTTTAAAACAACATAAATGGTAACTATACACATGAACCTCTCCAGATACAATACACAGGCATATCTACCACATTTGTGGAAACAGACAAGGGAAGCACTCAGTATCATCAATCAGAACAAGCCAGGTCTCCACTGCAGAACAAACTGCTAATTGCTCATCTGTGAGTTAAAATTGAAGCTGAAGAAAATTAAAAGTAGCCCATGAGAGTCAAAGTATGACCTTGAGTATATTCCACCTGAATTTAGAGACCATCTCGAGAATAGATTTGGCACATTGAACACTATTAATCAGAGGAGTTGTAAGATGACATCAAGAACATCATACATGAAGAAAGAAAACAGTCATTTAAAAGTCAGAAAAGAAAGAACAGGCCAAAATGGAGGTGCCAAGAAACTTTAAAATTTGTTCTTGAATTTAGAGCTTCTAAAGGGAATAGAATAGAGTTTCTAAAAATGAAGTAAATGAGCTGAATGTTGTTGTTAAGTTGTTAAGTGCTGTCGAGTCGGTGCTGACCCATAGCGATGCTGTACAGGGTTTCCGAGGCTGTAAATCTTTACGGGAGCAGAACGCCTCATCTTTCTCCTGCAGAGCAGCTGGTAGTTTCGAACTGCTGACCTTAAGGTTCACAGCCCGATTTGTAACCACTACGCTAGCAGAGAATGGAAGATTTTAAAGAGTGGCTGTAGAAGACAAGGTAAAGTATAATGGAATGTTCAAAGGTTTGGAGTTAGAAAATTAGGGAAGAACACGCATGGCATAATCAAGCTGAAGAACTGAAGACAAAATTCAAGCCTTGAGGTACAATACGGCACTGCAGAAAAAAAAACACTGGACAGAAAGGCCATTTGAGCCACAAGGTCCACAGTTCAAACTAATCTGTCATTTCCTGGAAACCCTATACAGGGTCACTGTCAGATGGAACCGTTTCGACAGTACTTAACAACAGCAACATATGGAGCTCGGTGGTTCCATATGATAAGCACCAGACTACGAACCACAAGGTCTGAGGTTTGAGCCTGCCAACCTTCCTGTGAGAGAAAGATGAAGACTTGCTGCTTCCGCGAAGATTTAAAGCGTCTGCATCCCTATTCAGTGTCGACTGTACTTAACAACAATGCTGTTGTTGTTAGATGCCGTGGAGTCCGTAACAACTCACAGTGACCCTGTGCACAACAGAATGAAACCCTGCCTGGTCCTGTGCCACGCTTACAATCATTGTTATGTTTGAACCATTGTTACTGCCACTGTGTCAATCCATCTCATCGTGAGTCTTCCTCTTTTTCTCTGACCCTACACTTTACCGAACATGATATCCTTCTCCAGGGACTGGTCCCTCTTGACAATATGTCCAAAGAAGGAGAGACAAAGTCTGGGCATCCTGGTTTCTAAGGAGCATTCTGACTGTACTTCTTCCAACGCAGACTGGTTTGTTCTTTTGCCATTATTGTTGTTAGGTGCCGTAGAATTGGCACCTACTCATAGTGACCCTATGCACAACAGAAAGAAACTGCCCAAACACTGTCAGTCCTGCGCCAACCTCACAATGGTTGCTAAGACTGAGCCCACTGCTGCACTCTTTTTCTCTGACCCCCCACTTTACCCAACATGATATCCTTCTACAGGGACTGGCCCTTCTTGATAATAAGTTTGGAATATGAGAGTCAAAGTCTGGCCATGTGGCTTCCAAGGAGCATTCTGACTGTACTTCTTTCAACAAGAATTGGTTTGTTCTTTTGGCAGTCCAAGGTACTTTTAATATTTCCCTCCAACACCACAACTCATATGCATCAATTCTTTTATGGTCTTCCTTATTCACTGTCCAACTTTCACATGTAAATGAAGTTATTGGACCAGGCACACTTTAGTCTTCAAACTGCTGTTTTTGCTCTGCAACAAAGAGGTCTTGTGCAGCAGATTTGCCTAATGCAATACATCATTTGATTTCTTGACTGCTGCTTGCATGAGTTGATGGAGGCTCTGAGCAAAATGAAACCTTTGATAAATTCAATCTTTTCTCCATTATACTGTTATTGTTAGGTGCCAGCGAGTTGGTACTGACTCATAGTGACACATAGCACAGCAGAATGAAACACTGCCCAATCCTGGGCCAACCTCACTACTGTTGCCACACTTGAGTCCATTGATGCTGCCACTTGGCCAATTCATCTCGCTGGGGGTCTTCCTCTTTTTCTCTGACCCTCCATCTTACCAAACATGATATCCTTCTTCAGCGAATGGTCCCTCCTGGCAATATGTCCAAAATATGAGAGACGAAGTTTGGCCATCTTGACCTCTAAGGAGCACTCTGGCTGCACTTCTTCCAAAACGGATTTATTGTTTTTTTTGGCAGCCCATGGCATTTTCAATATTCTCCTCCAAGATCATAACTCAAAAGCATCAATTCTTTTACATGCTGTTTATTGGTCTAGTGGTGAGGATTTTTGTTTTCTTTATATTGAGATGCAACCATACTGAAGGCTGTAGTCTTTGATCTTCATCAGTAAGTATTTTTTTAAGTTCTCTTCACTTTTAGCAAGTAAGATTGTATTATCTTCATATTGCAGGTTGTTAATGAGTCTTCCTTCAATCATTCACCCAAGTCACAATAAGAAGTTAAAAAAAATAATAAAAGAGGTACTATTCAAGTCTTTTGATGAGGTTGGATGAGGGATTGGCCTTTTACAATTCTATGGTCATTTGTAAAATGGTTTCATTCACTGGATGGGCTGATAGACGTGCTATCTCTTTTAGCCTTCAGAGCAGACTGAGATTGGGGAGATTGTGGGGTATGCTTTGTAACTAGGAATCCTCCTTTTTTTGCTATGCCTGAAGAAAGGGAAACTGCTTGCCTAAAAGTGAATGTGTCCATGTGTTTCTTGTTTTTGGATACAACCTATAGGTAGAGGACCTTAGATAGAGCAGTAGATTATAAATATGTTGGCCACTGGTAATGAATGAAACAGAAATTCGGGATCCTTGTATAACTCTGTACAATAAGGACTGGATTGCTAACCACACGCCAGTGGTTCAAACCCACTGGCCATTCCTCTGTAATTCTATGCAGGGTCACTATGAGTTGAACTGACTCAATTACACTTAATTCTTGCAAAGGCTTCTGATTCACTCCTGATATAGTATTTTACATGGCTGTGCATTCCTAGGACTTTGAAGTGTGAAACGTGTGTAGAGGTTTGACTTTGGTTGTCCAAACTTATATACCTCAGCACAGGTATATAACCAGTTTTCAGTATGTCTTACTTAACTCACAGAGACTGTCGGGGATGGCTGATTTGCCAAGGAAAATCAGGGGGAATAAGTTCTGGGTAAAGACAACAGATAGGTACTGTGGATGTTAGGTAGTTTTCTTAGAGGCCTTTTTGGATGAAATACCTTTAGGGGTAATACTTTTCTCTTTTGTATGCTTAAACTTTTCAAAACTGTTTGCCATATATGATCTATCTTACTGTTAGTACTCTGTTTAAGTATAGATGCCTCAGCGAGTGTTCAAAGTTTGTGAAGATATATGACCTTTGTTAATTACTTAGCCAATCTGTCAAATGAGGATAATAATAGCAACCTCTTTAAGATTTCTTGTAAGTGTTTTGTAAGTTAGTACACATAAAATACAAAATGGCCCCTGGGTCAAACTGAATTATCAATAAGTGTTAACTCAGAGGAGTTAACTGAGTAAAAGAGATTGAATTCAACCAAATTCCCAAGGTCACAGGACTAATATGTATTGGAGTTGAGACTTAAAGTTTAATTATGCCAGCTATAGTATTCATATTTAATAATAAAGCACTGTAGGCATATCTGTTCTCTTATGATTTAAAAAATACATCTAATTGTGCACAAGTACAGAGAGAGGTTCATTGCATTTGTACAAAATTATAATGCAATTAATTATGCTTTACATAAAGTGCCTACCCATATATATAGACTTTTGCAGAATAAAATAATGGAAGAACAATTATATGAATGAATGAACTAATATGCCTGGTTAGCTATTCAAGAAGCACTCTAAATCTCATAAATTAAAGCAGAGTTTAGAGAGGTTATCATAATAACAAATCCCAAAACATGTCACCATGGCACTGATAGAAAGCATTTGATGCAACATGTGTCTACCTTAACACACCCTCAAGCAGTGTTCAAAGACAACTTATTCATTTATTTTCTTTTTAATTTTTCATTGTGAATTGACTAAAGGATTACACAACAGATCATCAGTCCCACATTCAACAAATTATACAGTCCTTTCCATGGACCATTAGTTAACAGTATTTACCTCTATTCACTTTATTTTTCTCTCCCCTGCACCCCACCCACCCACCTTGTAGCCATCAAAGAATATTTAATTTAAGAAGAAAATATTTTCTTAACTTTTTACTACAGTGGTCTCATGCAAGTTAGTGGCACTGTGTCAGTAGCAATGGGTTCAAGCTTACCAATAATTGGTGACTGGACAGTGTTTTGTTCTGTTGAGCATAAGCTCGCTATGAGTCAGTACCAACTCAAAGGCACCTAGCAACAAAAATGATGACTAATGACTGAAAGCATTTCTTCATATGTTTGTTGGCCACCTGAATATTTTCTTTGGTGAAGTACTTGTTCATGTCCTCATTCCATTTTTTTTTTTTTAACTTACATACTTTTATTTGGACATGCTTGCATTAGTAGAGTGAAACTAAATTTGAGACACTGAATATCATAAGTTTATTATAAAAGAGTGACATGAAGATTATTTACATGATGCAAAATTTCAGAACTTCAGTGGAATGGGCAGCTTCACATGATGCCATTTCAATTGTGATTTATTTCAGTCTACATACTTCCCAAGAATGTCACCATCTCTAAATAAGAAATAGTCCTTGTCATCTAGAACTACTTTGGTGCCTCCATATTCTGGAAGAAGAACTTTATCTCCAACTTTCATGCTAACTGGTTGAATCTCTCCACCCTTTCCTTTAGATCCGCATCCAACAGCTACTACTGTTGCTTGCAGGACTTTTCCTTGAGATTTTTCTGGAAGCAGAATGCCTCCTTTAGTTACAGTTTCAGCGGCACTCCTTTCCACCAATACTCGATCAAAGAGAGGAAGAAACTTTCTAAATGCCTGTCCTGCCATGATTCTCAGGTCACCGCAACTCGCACCCCACACTCCCTACGCTGCAGCAAGCCGAGACCCCCTCATTCCATTTTTAAATTAGATTATTTGTCTTCTTGTTGAAGCATTGAAGTATTCTATAAATTTTGGAGAGTAGACTTTTGTTTGCTAGGTCATTGCCAAACATTTCCACCCCCATTCTGTGGGGTCTTTGTTTACTCTTTTGGTGAAATCTTTTGATGTACATAAGTATCTAATTTTTAGGAGACATCTATTTTGTTTTCTGTTTGTGTGTTTTAAGTTGTGTTTGGTAGTATATTTATGCCATATATTAGAGCTCCTAAGTTTGTTCCTATTTTTTCATTTATTATCTGTATATTTCTAGGTTTTACAATTAGGTTTTTAATCCATGTTGCATTCATTTTTGTATATGGTCTGAGATGTAGGTCTTATTTAATTTTTCTGAAAATGAATTTCCAATTTTGCCAGCACCATTGAAGAGACTATCTCTTCCCTACTCAATGAGTTTTGGTCCTTTGTTGAAGATCAACTGACCCTAGGTGGATAGATTTACTTCTGGGTTCTCAATTCTGTTCCGTTGACTTACGAGTGTTTCATTGTACTAGTACCAGGTTGTTTTGACTACTGTGGTTGTGCAGTAAGTTTTGAGATAGCGAAGTAAGAGGCCTTCTACTTTGGTCTTCTTTTTATAATAATACTTTTCTTATCTGGAGTCTCTTTCCTTTCCAAATAAAGTAACTGAGTAGCTTATCCATCTCTTTAAAAAAATGATGTTGGAATCTGAATTGGGGTAGTATTTTATCTACAAATTGCTTTTGGTAGTATTGACATTTTTATAATGTTAAGTCTTCCTTCCATAAGTGGGGTACATTCCTTCATTTCTGTAGGCCTTTTTTGATTTTTCTTGTAGTATTATTTTGTAACTTTCTTTGTATAGGTATTTTGTTTTTATCTGGAGTTCCCTTTCAGAGCTGTCTTTATTAGCGTAAAGGAATCCAACTGATTTTTGGATGCTGATCTTATACCCTGCCACTTTGCCAAATCTATATATGAGTTCCAATGATTTTATTGCAGACTCCTTGAGATTTTATAGTACAGGATCATATTGTTTGCAAAAAGAGTTTTAGATCTTCTACATATTTGTTGTTTTGCTAAGTGCTGTCAAGTCGGTTCTGACTCATAGCAACCCTGTATAGTATTTTCAAACAACTGGTGAGCTTGAACCACTGAATTTGCAGTTCAAACCAATTTTGCAGTCCAGAGCATTAACCCACAGTGCTACACCAGGACTGTTTGTTATTGAATGCCTTTATTCTCCCTTTCTTACCTAATAGTTCTGGCTAACACTTTTACAACAAAATATTGAACAGGAGTAGTGATAAAGGGCATTCTGTCTTGTTCCTGTTGATAAAGGGAATGGCTGTAAGTTTCTCACTTGTGGGCTATTGTTTTTGCATGTTGTTATTGTTGTCATTAGGTGCCATTGAGTCAGTACCAACTCATAGCAACCCTGTGCACAACAGAATGAAACACTGTTCGGTTCTTGGCTAACATCACAATTGTTGTCACGCTTAAGTACATTGATACTGCCACTTTCCCAATCCATTTCGCTGGGGGTCTTACTCTTTTTCTCTGACCCTCCACCTTACCAAACATGATATCCTTCTCCAGTGACGGGTCCCTCCTGACAATGTGTCCGAAGTATGCGAGACCAAGTTTGGCATTCCTGGCCTCCAAGGAGCACTCTGGTTGCACTTCTTTCAACACAGATCTATTTGTTTTTTTAGGCTGCCCATGGCACTTTCAATATTCTCCTCCAACACCATAACTCAAATACATCAATTCTTCTATGGTCTTCCTTATTCATTGTCTAATGTTCACATGCATATGAGGTTATTCAAAATACCATGGCTTGGGTCAGGTACACCTTAGTCCTCAAATTTACATTTTTGCTCTTCAACACTTTAAAAAGATCTTGTGCAGCAGATTTGCCTAACGCAATACATCGTTTGATTTCTTGACTGCTGCTTCTGTGAGTGTTGATAATTGATCCAAGACAAATGAAGCCCTTGACAACTTCAATCTTTTCTCCATTGATAAGAATGCTGTTTATTGGTCCAGTGGTGAGGGTTTTTGTTTTCTTTACATTCAGATGCAATCCATGCCAAAGGCTGTGCTCTTTGACCTTCATCAGAAAGTATTTTAAGTCCTCTTCACTTTCAGCAAGCAAGGTTGTATCATCTGCATATCACATATTGTTAATGAGCCTTCCTCCAATCCTGATGCCATGTTTTTCTTCATATAACCCAGCTTCTTGGATTATTTGCTCAGCATACAGGTTGAATAAGTATGACGACAGAATACAACCCTGTCACACACCTTTCTTAATTTTAAACCATTCAGTGTTCCCGTGTTCTATTCGAACAACTACCTCTTGGTCCAGGTCCAGGTTCCTTATGAGCACAATTAAGTGTCCCCATACTTTGTTATGTTGTCCATAGTTTGTTATGATCCACACAATTGAAAGCCTTTGAGTAGTCAGTAAAACACAGCTAAACATCTTTCTTGTATTCGCTACTTTCAGTCAAGATCCATTTGAAGTCACCAATGATATCCCTCATTCCACTTTCTCTTCTGAATCCTGCTTGAACTCTGGAAGTTATCTGTCAATGTATGCTTTCAGTCATTTCTGTATAACCTTTAGTAAAACTTTAATCACATAGGATATCAAAGATATTGTCCAATGATTTCCACATTCCATTGGGTCACCTGTCTTTGGAATGGGCACGAATACGGAACTCTTCCAATCAGTTGGCCAGATAGTTGTCTTCCAAGTTTCTTAGCATAGATGAGTGAGTGCCTTCTGTGCTGCCTCATTTTGTTGAAAGATTTCTATTTTTTTCCCATCAATTCCGGGTGCCTATGTTCTTTACCAATTCCTTCAATGAACTTTGGATTCTTCCTTCAACATTGTATGCCACTTCTTGAAATGGTTGAGCATCAACCATTTCCTTTTGGTATAATGACTCTGTGTATTCCTTCCATCTTCTTTTGATGCTTTCTGCATCATTCGATAATTTGCCCAGAGAATCTTTCAATAACAAAAGTCGAGGCTTGAAATTTTTCTTCAGTTCCCCCAGCTTGAGAAATACTGAGCATGTTCTTCCCTTTTGGTTTTCTGACCAGATCTTTGCATATTTTGTTGTAATATTTGACTTTGTCTTCTCGAGCTGACCTTTCAAATTTTCTGTTCAGCTCTTGTACTTCCTCATTTCTTCCATTTGCTTTAGCATCTCTATGATGGAGAGCAAGTTTTAGTGTCTCTTCTGACATCCATTTTGATCTTTTCCTTCTTTCTTGTCTTGTTAATGACTTTTTGCTTTCTTCCTGTATGATGTTCTTGATGTCATCCCACAATGCTTCTGGTCTTCGGTCTTTAGTGTTTAATGTATCAAATCTGTTCTTTTAATTATCTCTAATTTCAGGTGGGATATATTCAAGGTCATATTTTGGCTCTTGTGGACTTGTTTTCATTTCTTCAACTTCAGTTTGAATTTGCATATGAACAATTGATGGTCTGTTCCAAAATGTGCCCCTGGCCTTGTTTTGCTTGATGATATGGAGCTTTTCCATCATCTCTTTCATAGTAGTAGAAATCAAAATGTAGTCAATTTGATTTCTGTGTAGTCCATCTGGTGAGGTCCATGTGTACAGTTGTCTCTTATGCTGACTAAAAAAGTATTTGAAATGAACAAATCATTTATTTTGCATAATTCTATCATGAAATTTCCAGCATTTCTATCATCAAGGCCATATTTTCCAACTACTGACCCTTTCTCTTTGTTTCCAATTTGCATTCCAATCAGTAATAATAATCAATACATCTTGATTGCATGTTTGATCAGCTTCAAGTTAAAGAAGCTGACAGAATTCTTCTATTTCCTCCTAACTGGCTTTCGTGTTTGGTGCTTAAATTTGAATAATAGTGATATTAACTGGTCTTCCCTTTAGGCACATGGATATTATCGAATCAAAGACAGCGTTGTAACTCATGACTGATCTTGATATGTTCTTTTTGAGATGAATGCAATGCCATTTCTATTCAATTTGTTATTTTTGGCATAGTAATTCATATGATTGTGAGATTTAAAATGGCCAATATCAGCCCATTTCAGCTCCACTAATGCCTACAATATGGATGTTTATGTACTCCACTTCATTTTTGACAATTTCTAATTTTCATAGATTCATACTTTGTAATTCCATGTTCTAATTATTAATGGATGTTTACAGCTGTTTCTCTTTATTTTGAGTTGTGCCCCATCAGGAAATAATGGTCTTCCATATATGCCCTTAATTATGTTTTTTTGTGTGTGTTTTTTTTTAAATCAAGAATGAGTGTTAGATTTTGTCAAGTGCCTTTTCTGCATCAATTAATATTATAATGTGATTTTTTCCCCTTGGTTTTATTTATTTATGGGAGGTTATGTTGATTCTTTTTCTAATAATGGACCATCCCTGAATACTTGTTGTGCATCCCACTTGGTCATGATGTATTTTTTTATTTTTTTATTGCTGGATTCTATTTGCTAGGATTTTATTGAGAATTTTTACATCCACGTTCTGAGGATTATTGGTTTATAATTTTCTAACTTAGTGATGTCTTTGCCTGGTAATGAATTTGGGAGTTTTCTATCCTTTTTAATATTATATAATAGTTTGAGTAGAATTGGTGTCAGCTCTTCTCTGAATGTTTTGTAGAATTCACCAATAAATCTACCTTGGTCTGCACATTTTCAGTTGGGAGTTTAAAAATTACTAGATCAATTTCTCCTCTTCTTACATGACTGTTTCATTTCAATTATTTCTGGTCTAATCTTTATTATTTCTTTTCTTCTGGTGTCAGTTGGCTTACTGTGCTGCTTTTTTCCCCCCTAGTTGTTAGAGGGGTTTGGTTAGGGTGTTGATTTTAGTTCTTTCTTCTTTTTGGATGTGTGCATTTATT